AACAACCCAGTGATTCCGGCCATGAAAGCCTTCAACAATAAATCAATGCAAAATATGGCAGGTAGCAGTATGATTTTATGTCATGCCAGTTCCTGTTGAAAAAAATCAGTTGAAATCCCTAAATGGAGTGATTCATGCAAAACAATTTTAATAGTATAATATTCTTTCTTGTGCCTGGTTAACTTAGCCATATGGACAAAGTTCACCTGGTATGGTCCTCAGCTATGCTGTATCAATACGGTGTTGTTTACAAGATTCTCAAAATAACATAATGAACCTACACATATTTATGAAAGAATGAATCTCAGATATGTTCTGATATGGTTTTATAATACAGACAAGATAAGAAATGAACATCTGATTATTTTAAATTAGCTACAAGTGAAGAAAGAGTATATAGAAGAAAGCAACCATAAATCATGTAATACCTCCTAAAACATGTGTGATTACCACAAGCTTTTCAGCATTTCTCTTATATTTAAAATAGATTTATCTTCTTAAATTAGTGCCAGATATTGGGGGATAGGGTAGACTAGCTGAATATACAAATCCATTTGTATTCAGGCATATTAAGCCAAAGGTGGGAGTCTTGTGGCCTTCCAGATGACTTCCAGCATTCCTCTCCACTAACTATGCTGGATGGGGCTAATGGAGTTGAGCCCAGAAACATCTGGAGAGCTATATGATTCCCACCTGTGTAGTAAGTCTGATGTTTCCATAAAGAACATTAGGAAAAAATAATAATGACAGACAATAGGTTTGTTGCTAATTGCAGTCAAGTTAGGGCTAACATATGGACACCCTCTGAATGGCAGACTTCCAAGAGGCTGTCTTTCTAGCTGCCTTGCAAGCTCGGGGCTGTGGGTTCTATGATTAAATCAATCCATCTGTAAATATGGTGTGTGTCCCCTCTTTTTATTGCCATCAACGTTACCAAACATAACAATTATTTCTAATTAATAATATAGCATCACAATAAAGCCCTCAGATTGCTAATTTTGGCTTCTAGACCCAGTTCAGATTTGGTTTGATCTAGGATCCATTGGGGAGGGGGGGGCAGTCCATGGAATCTAAAAGCTGTCTGTCATCCAGCAAGTCATTGCAACTGTTTCCTGTCCTGTTAGCTTTCTTCACTGTCCAGGTTTCAGACCATAGATAGAAATTGGGAAGACTATGGCATGGATGATCCTGACTTTGGTATTTAATGATATATCTTTAGATTTTGGGATCTTGTCTTGTTCCTTCATAGCTACCTTTCCAAGTCCCAGTCTTCTGATTTCTTGGCAATCGGCAATTCCTATAATTTTAAAGTGGATTATTAAAAAAATTGAACTAGTTAAATATTTCTATGCATCCATTTATGTTGGAGCCAATGCATATAAATATTTAACTAATTATTTTTTAATAATCCACTTTAAAATTATATGAATTGTCAATTGTTATCATTTTTGTTTTCTTCATGTAGGTGTAACCCTACATCATAGAAGATCACAGACGATTTTGAACTTTCTTCCATGATGATAAATATATGGATTAAAATACTTGATGAAGTCTATGGGAACGAGTAACACTTCACTGAATATCAAAGTTAACTATTATCATGGATCATAGAATAAGGGTACTAAGTAAAAAAAGGAAGTCAGGAAAGCCACGTTCCAATGACTACACTTATATATGGGGAGCTAACTCCATATATATTGTTGTTATGTTTTTTAAGTCAGCTCCAGTTTATTGTGAGCTTCTTATAGAGTTTTCATCACAAGATTAATTCAGAGGTGGCCTTCTGAGGTTAAGAGAGTATGACTTGCCCAAGGTTGCTTAGTAGCTTTCCTTTATTGAGTGAGGATTCACATCCTGTCTCCCAGAATTGTAATCCAATGCTCAAATCACTATTCCACACCAGTTCATTGATTCCATTTTAGATAAGCAGAGATCCGCTTTGAATGTATCCTTGCTGGCTTGCTTTTCAGTGGACCAAATTTGTTACATAATGATTTTAAAACAGAAGTGATGTTTAACATTATGTTTTCTCAATGGAAATGAAAAATAAAGGAATGTAATTGAGGAAGTATACAACAGTGGTTAATATGCTGTTATTTGCAAAGAGATATTGTGACTTATAATCTACTATTATGGGTTTATGTTGTTCATGTTTAATCAGGCATGTGAATGAATTCAGGTGTTAAAACAGTCTATTAGCTCAAAAACTGCACTATTATTTACTGAGCTGTTTGCGATAACATTGTTGGCTCCCCCCCCCCCCAACCAATTCAATAGTCTCTATTTAATTGTACCTTTAAGATTTTGCCCTTTCAAAAAGCATTTGCACAAGGAAAACAGGCTTGATGAGACATATACAAATTAAACAGCATTGCATTGATTCTCTCCCCCCTCCCCAGATTACAAGTTAATTTTCTCTTTTCAGTGAGAGAAAAGTCAAATGTTAACAAGGTCATTTTATGGTGGATTATAATGGCTTAATGAATTGAGCAATAAATACTGATGCAAAGGCATGAACACTCACCATAGCAGAACCTGGTTCCTGTAAGGCACAACTTGGTTTCCTAGAGTGATTATGGAAAATTAGCATCCAATATACCTAGTTTAAGAACCAGATACTAGACACCCAGAAATACGGTTCTCCAGAGGTTGTTCAATGGCATCTCTTCTCAACCATGGCCAGCACAGCCAATGGGAAACTAGGGACCTCATCACATGGGGATTTTTGCCCGTGCTAGGACACTGCTGAGACTCAGCCAGGATAGAGACTTCTGGAGCCCATCATATGACGCAGGGCTACTTCCCGCAGGGCTCCATCCCGGCTCCGTGCATGTTGTGTCTCAGCAGTGCGTTAAGAGGTAGCCCTTGGAACACAGGTAGTCATCCATGTTCTCCTAAGCTGGATACAGCACAGGATCATGTTGGGGACAGATGGTAAACCGCATGTGATGGTAAGGGGCCGATGCGGGGCACTACCCAACAGTTTCCCCCACTGCCCCAAGGATTTGCTCCACTGCCCCATGGATTCTCCTGCAGTCCTCTGGCTTAAGGACCTCCATGTGATGAGGTCCAAAGAGTCGTAGCCCAACAACATCTGGAAGGGCCACAGCTACCTATTCCATATTACATGCAAACAGTGTCCCACTTCTCAAAATAACAAAGCTGTTACTAGGAAAGAACCATTTACAGTGCCACAGCAGTTACACTCTAACTCACAAAGTATTAGTTAGTATTAAGGTAAAGAATTTCTACTTCTCTCTCCAGTCCAAAACACTATTGGTGGCTAATATAAGATTACCTAAATCTTATATATTTAGGAAGTTAAACTGGATCACCCCCTCAATGGACTGGATCAGGCCTGGTTAGTACTTGGGTGAGAAATTGCCAACAAATACCAGATGCTATAGACAGAGGCATCACTAGGGTTGGTGTTACCCAGTGCACTAAGTCACCATGTCATCCATAAAGATATCGTCCCATACCAAACCTTATGACAGTATTGTATCTAAAATTTGGCAAAATCAGCAACTGTGGGAAAAAGCAACTTGTAGCACCTGGAGAAGAAACCATATGATTTAAAGCAGGGGTCCTCAAACTTTTTAAAAAGAGGGCCAGGTCACAGTCCCTCAAACTGTTGGAGGGCCGGATTATAATTTGGAGAAGAAAAAAACCATGAATGAATTCCTATGCACACTGCACATCTTATTTGGAGTTTGAAAACCACTCAAAAACAATATAATGATTAAAATGAAGAGCAATTTTAACAAATATAAATGTATTAGTATTTCAATGGGAAATGTGGGCCTGCTTTTGGCTGATGAGATAGGATTGTTGTTGTTGCTGTGTGCTTTCAAGTCGTTTCAGACTTAGGTTGACCCTGAGCGAGGGCCGGGTAAATGACCTTGGAGGGCTGTATCCGGCCCCCGGGCCATAGTTTGAGGACCCCTGATTTAAAGTGTCATTGGAAATTGAGAATCATGACAGCTCTAGCCAGAGCACATGAGCATTAGAAAGTTCAAAAAGTAAGTTTAGAGTTTTAGCCATATAGGTATATTAATATGGTACATGTGAGCTGGGATGACAAAATATTTGTGTGGTTATTTCTAACTACAAGGATATTATTTTTTATTAAAAATAATGAATCTGCTGAAACACTGCACAAAAAAGTATAGACAGAGAGGGTAACACCCAGTCATCCGATGGTGTTACCCAGTGCAATTCACACACACCCCAGTGATGCCACTACTGTAGGCTATGTTTTAAAAGAAAAAAACAGGCAAAACCACTTCTGAGTAATTCCCTGCCTTAAAAAATCCTATGAAATTAATGGGATTGCCAAAAGTGATTTGAACACACATATATGCACAATATGAGATTAACCAAAGCCAGATAATCTCTGCATGCAGATTTACAATGTAAAGAACCAGACACAAAAGGAAATAAAGTGGAAAGTGAAGGAGGCAATGACCAGATATAATTGAATTATTCCCAGAGATGTGGGGCATATCCACACTGACCATGTAATGCACTGACCATTTAATGCAGTTTGAAGACAGCTTGGAAGTATGTTGTTTATATGATGCACACCATTAATGCACACAGCAGCACACTTTAAGGGCTTTATAGCAAGCTAACCCAAATACAATGAATGGAATGGTCCAGCTTCCCATCTCTCCCTCTGCAATAACATGGTGGAATCAGTGGATAAGGTTTTCAAAATTAACTCTGAAAACACAGGAGTAATGAAACTTACCTGGAACAGGGAAATAGCAGGCAGAGTCGCCACATGACTTCTTCCATCCAATGATTTTTGTCTTGTTTTTCATTCTGTTTCTTACCCAGAATATTCCATTCATCCACTTATTCATACATTTAAACCACTGGGATAACAAAAGCATGAGGGAGATGATTCAATTTTAGTTTTATTGGAAGTAAGGATCTTTTCTATGTAAATGAATTTTTGAAAAAGCAGTTCTAATTCTATTTATATCTTACTAAAGTTGCAGAAAATGAACACATCAAGCTACTCTGGGACTTCCAAATTCAGACTGACAGAGTTTTGGAGCACAATACTCCTGACCTCACGATCAATCGTGTTAAAAAACTAAGCATGGATCATCGATGTTGCAATCCCAGGTGACAGCAGGATTGAAGAGAAACAACTGGAAAAGCTGACACGATATGAGGATTTAAAGATCAAACTGCAAAGACTCTGGCACAAACCAGTAAAGGTGGTCCCAGTGGTGATCGGCACATTGGGTGCAGTGCCTAAAGACCTTGGCCTGCACTTAAACACAATAGGCGCTGACAAAATTACCATCTGTCAGCTGCAAAAGGCCATCCTACTGGGATCTGCATACATTATTCACTGATACATCACACAGCCCTAGACACTTGGGAAGTGTGATCCAATACAATAGCCAGCAGAGTGACCTTGTTTGCTGTGTACTAATCTTTTTGTGTTTCAAATAATAATAATCTGTACTTATATCCCACTTTTCTCCCTTGCAGGACCCAAAGTGACTTACAGTATATTAAAATAATGTAAACAACAATCCAAATACATTGATAATAAGTATATAATAAATAAACATAGCAGAAATCTTGTGAGCCAATGGACGGAGAGATAAATGTGGGCTTTGAGCCATGAATTCATCAGCTACGCAATCCACAATCTCACAAATTTCAAATGGAAATCACTCAATTTTTCATCAGACGATAAACAAATCTTTAAATGATTCAAGTTGTATGTAGACTGGAGACTATGCATCAAACCTAGAAATATAATCTTTCTGCAAATCTATGCGTCACTGTAGCATTCTTTATATTTATCCTATTGTTTTCTAAAACTGATAATAAAGGAAACAGTGAAAGTGGCAAATAATCAAGAGAACCAGCAGTAATTTAAAAAAGCGGAGAAGCAGCTCCTATATTGCAATAGGGTGTGATATATGTTGCTTACACACACACAAAAACCCATAGTATTAGATCATGACAAAGAAGAGAAAACTGGTAGTATACCCTATAGTTAATGTGACAGGATGTCCTTAATGTGTTCTTAATGACTCGGAGTCTTTTGGCTCATTTCTCTCAACCATTTGACAATGTCATTTGTTTTATACATGGCTGTGTAGCCTAAGATCAACTCCATGCCCGAATGGATGCCAATTGTAAATCATGGATCTTTGTGAGTGGAAAGATTGAGATAGGAGATATATAGATTAAATACAGGGTTATTGCAAAAGAATGTCCCGATCTCAAAAATTCATGGTAAATATTTTAGTGAATGTACACATATAAAACCTACATCATTGTGAAGGGGAAGTCTTCAAGTTTTTTTTCCACACTCATAAGATTATCACTGGATGGGATAATTGCATGAGCAGCCACAAGGCAGCATTTGCACGTCCGTCGGTGCAAAATGGTTGCAACCCAGCAGGAGAAGGCAGTCTGTGTCTTACAGTTTCAAAGCACAAAGTCCATAATTACTGTGCAACGGGCATTTAGAACGTGCTATTGGAAAGTGGGTATAAAATAAAGTTGTTATTGTTGTTGTTGTTGTTGTTGTTGTTAGTATATAATCAAACTCCTGGAAATTGGGATGTATGATGAATATGTCTTGGAGCTCATGGTTCAAGGCTCTATTTACCACATTCTGATTGGGATTCCTTTTGAGATGAAGCTATTTATATCCTACCTGACTCAGGCCCCTTCTGATTTTAAATGGATTATCTTAGTCTACACTGCCATGTAATCCAGTTCAAAGCAGATAATGTGAATTTTTTCAGCTGTGTAGAAAGGACCTCAGAGATTCCTTTATGGGCCACTTGTTTGACTCACCCATTCTGATTATTTTTTTCCAGGATTTGTTGATAATTTCATCATTTTTAACTTCACTTCAGTCTCTTGTAACTTTACTAGATAACCAATTCCATTCCATTAAGCTTTTCAGATCTTTCATTGTGAAATATTTAGGAAAGAAATATTTCAGAAATAGTGTTTGAAACACAAAAAAGGAGGAAGATAACTAGAAATGCATCTACACTGTAGAAGTAATATAGTTTAAGACCACTCTAACTGCCATGGCTCAATGCTATGGAATCATGGAAGTTGTAGTTTTATAAATTCTTTAGCCTTCTGTGCCAAAAGGCCTCTTCACAAGGGCTTTTTTTTTTTTTGCAATGGTGGTTTTTTTCTACTTTTGACACAGACCCTGCCAGCTCCCATCACACACATTAAAAGTACTGCTGGGCAGCTCCATGGCAAAGTGTGGGGGGGGGGGGACCCTGTCGCCGCTGAAAAATTGCCGTGGGCACACAGTGTGAGGCTTCCCATCTTTCCATAAGAAAATATGAGTTTAGCCAGCTTAAAGAGGTTTCCCCTCATGTGATGAGTTAGTGGGGAAGTTGGGATGGCACAGGACATGGGGCAATAGGTCACCATGCCCCCTGAATGGGCACTGCTGGAAACACCGTGATTCATGGTGATACTCAGCAATTCCAGTGGCATGTATGAAGAGGTCCAAAGAGTGGTGGTTCCTCATCAAATTGCAAACTATCCATGATTCTTTAGTATTGAACCATGGTAGTTAAAATGGTCTTGAACTGCATTAATTCTAAAGTATAGAGTTGGCGGCCCCTCTTCCTTTTCCCTTCCATTTTCCCCAGCATAATTGTCTTCTCTAACCTTTCCTTTCTTCTCAACTAATATTAAGTCCAAAGAAAATGTCACAAAATAATATGCAAGGCTTTGGGTTACACAACATTTATCATCAGGCTGAAGATGAAGCATCTACTGAGGTACTCAAAAGACATGGAGGTCAGGTGAAGATATAGTGATCTTTTGTACTTTGTGTTACGCTGTTATCTGCTTGACTTAGATCTTTTCTATTTGTTAGCAATTGATAATTTTGGATTATTTATTATCATAAACCTAGGGGTTACTCATGGAGAGAGGATTTAGTTGAGACCTATTCTTTTTCAATAGAAGTGCCTCCTCTGGTTCAGCATACACTCATCCTTCTTCTACAGTCAAGTATTTGATCTTCTGAATGCATTAGTTTACTGTTCAAATTGTGTCTTCAATAAAGATAAGGACTGATTTACATGAAAATGTGAACTAGATATGAATGTAGCTGCCTAGAAAGAAAAACAGGCTGACATATACTATAACAGACTAATTCAGAACAGAATCTATAAGAATCATAACCAGTCTTAAGATGGAGATTGAATGAGTTAGTCTCAACTCTATTTTCTGTCTTTTCTTCACCAAACCCCACTCCAAACGTCACAAGGTAGAAGTAGTTAGTGTAAACTACTCATCTCAAGGCAAAAGTTGTTCCTAGATCAGTTCATTTTGACTAACATAAAACAATATCACAATATATCCCTGACAATATCACAATATATCCTTTCCCAAAACCTCAAAGGTCTTAAAGGCACAGACGGAATTTCTGGTTAATCTTAGTTGTTACTCTTGTCTCTTTAACACAGTTTTTTTTTAAAAAAAAAATATGCTTCAATTCCTATCAGTTCTACAGTTTTGTGGTATGGTGAGACATCAAAATTCTCCAAGGTAAATTTTTGAAAACTCCACAAGACTACGGATCTCAGCATGAAGACAGAGCCATCAAAGTGGTAACATTGTATTGTGCGAAAGCCATTTAACAACAATGGTGCAATCCAGTTTATTTTATTTTAATGTCTTGAAGTAATTTCCAACATATGATAAGCAGGGTCTTCAAAGCAAGATTGTTCAGAGTAGGTTTATCTTTGTCCTTTTCTTCTTTGAGGATCTGAGAGTATTTACTGATTAATAGTTCCCATTGTGATTGATGTGGTGTACTCCCTCAGATATGTGCTTTCTAGGGTTAAATAAATATAGATCAGAACTGTAATCCTCAACACACACACTACAGAGTAATTCCTATTGAACATAATGGGCTTTATTCAGAGAGCAAGAGAGAGCAAGACCTTACTCAGAAATGAGCAAACATGCATAAGATTATGTTCTGTGTTACTTGCACTTAGTTTTTACTAAAATCAGTAGAAACAACTGTAACATATGTCTAATTGATTTCAGTGGTACATATATGCAACTTATTAACACAAGGTGTGGTGATAGTTATTAGATTGAATCATTGCTGTTGTTTTCATTTTCATAAGGATTAGACTTCGCATTGTCCAAGCTGCTATCTTTCAAATATGTTAGACTATAGTTCCCATGGTCTCACAAACAGTTGTTAATTCAGGACATCTAGAGAGCATCATGGTAGGGAAGACTAGATAAGGTCATTTCAGTAAGAAAGATCAGTATAAGGTTATTATCAGTACAAGGAAAATAGAAAATCAGTCCATAGGCATATACATATGGATACAAATAAAAGGGATAAGCAAAGGTGTCAATAAACTTGGTATGTTAAAAAATATTACCCAGTAAATTGAAGCCTCTGGAAGTACTAATTTTATGGGACAAGAACGGGTACAGCATTATATTAAATTTCTTACAAAATGAACTGTATCTGTTGGTATAAAGCAGTGGTTCTTAACCAGTGGGCTGTGGCCCAGGAGTGGGCCATGAGAACAAAAATCTGGTCTGTAAACCTCCTTCCATTTTATTTTATTTTTTTATTTTATTTTATTTTATTTTATTTTATTTCTGCTCCTTTCTGAAGAGCTAACCAGCCCTGCCCCTTTTGGTACTAATGTTGGAAAGTGGTCCCTGGATAAATGATCCCTGGTTAAGTGGGACCTGGTTTAAATGGGCCCTGGTCAAAAAAAAGGTAGGGAACCACTGGTATAAAGAGAGAAAAACAAATTGTGCATAAAATGTTCATATGTCCATATGCACTGATATTCATGGAAGAACACAGAAAAACATATTCAGGTACAATATAATTTTTAAAAAGAATGGAAACAAAGAGGTTCGGTCTGTTAATCCTATGTACCGCACAGATTGTTACATATAAAAAACAAGGAACATAAACTATTCTGGACAATATAATAAAGTTCAATATTTCATCTCTTCGTTTAAACTGGTCAGTGTAGAATAAACTCAGAGGTTGCTTTTTGATGGAATTATGATCGATTTCCCAGTGCTCTGCCTTCGTATCTATTAAAAATATCACGAGAGGGGGGAAATGGAAGAAATTACAACATATTCTATGCTTACCTCTTGTTAACCTTATACCTTAAGCTCCTTTGA